TGTATTTTGTATTATTCAGTTTTCTGCAATACACCCTGTGTCACCAATCAAGGTGGGCAGGAATAGGATCCTGAGCATAAAAATTGTCCCTGGAGCCAGTGCCCTTCAAGCTTTGGCTTCTAGATGGTATATTCCAAACTTGTTTACTAGTGGAAATAAGTCATGGATCATTTCCAAAATATCATACGAGTTTAATCATCCCCAGCCCTCTGACAGATTTTTTCTTGAAGGCCCATTCCAGTTACCAAATTTATTCATAATGTGGCAGTCATGTCACCCAAATACTGGGGGATAATAGCATGAAAAAAAAAAAAAAAAGACTCAGAGAAAGGGAAATCAGGTAAGGTCATGTAGGTTTGCCTAATGAACTCATTGGTGGCAGGACACTTATTGAGTTGACTATGTGTAAAGACATTTAACAAGACAAAGCTACAGTGACCATTACGTTTTCTTGGTGGCATTAGGTTAACATTTACTACTACCTAGTTTTTTGCTTTCTGAAAAGGTTTCTGTGATATGTAGATAGTAGTCTTAGATGAAAGAATGAGAGATATACAAGACATTATAGTGTGCTATTATTATAGATAGACATGTATACCCCTTTCTTTAAATACATGTTTGCATAGATTATGTTATATATTAATATGAAGAAGCCTCGCTGCTTGTACTTTCAAGAAACAGGTCTTGCAATATCTTCTATAGTTCTGCCCTTGCTGAAGCTGTAAACTGCCAGTTAAAACGCATTCCTAAGCAGAAGTTACAGTTGTTTCTTTATTTGCATAACTGTATAAGAAAATTAAAATCTTTGTTGGTAGTAATAAAACTTGATTCTGGCCACTAAAAACTGTCAGACAACAGGTTCTGAATGCTGAAGTGAACTTGTACTGTATTAAAGATATGACTTTTTTGTTGCCTCTTAATATTTATATATGTCAGAGCCATACAGAGGGTCATAGTGCAGTAGAAAAGAATAATAGTGCAGTGGCAAAGATTTTTTTAAATCCTTTTTCACAGTGATAGTGGTAATACATTGTTTTACGATAGAAAGTGAGAAAAACTGCCTAATGCAATTGAGCAGTCTGTATTATATACTTTGTGCAGTACATGGGCAAATTTTATGTCAGAGGTCAGTACAAGTAATTTTACCTTTTTTTTCATATTCTGAGCAGGGAGACATGGGAAACAATACAAATACAGCTTCCAGACTGGTTCATATTATATTTAGATGTATTCGGGTCTTCGGGTAAAATTTATGGGGGGAAGGAGAAACATGACAAAGTAAAATATATTAAATTTATGTGATTTTTTTTATTTTTTTATTTTTTATTTTTTTATTTTTTTATTTATCTATTTTTTATTGAGACTGCAACAAAATATATGTCTTAAGTATGTAGCATGGTTTTTGAGTGTATTATTGATAGTGAAGTAACTATAGTGTGTATGGTAAATAGGATAAAGATAGTTACAAAAATTGTAAATATTTGGAAACTGGTCTATTTAAAAGTGAGCTGCTTAAGAATTATTTGGAAAAGAAATCTGATAGCTTTATACAGAAAATTTGTATTTAGGGTTACAGTTCTACTGTAATGATTTAGCATTGATGGAAATGGTATTAGGCGATATGATCTACATTTGCCTTGTGTATTTACAGCATCAATAAACGTTCCCTGACATAATTGCTGTGTCTTTGTTTCATTATATTACTTTCATGTTTGATTTAGAATTGTATTTGATATTTTGAGAGCTGTCATAGCTGCACAGTTTCCCTAAAACACTCATCTCTCTTTGGTACTAAATTTTGAGTCCAATTATTGTTACTACTGTTATTACTGTCGCATTATTTAGGGCTAGCGGTAAGCATTTCAAGAGGTGCTGAATTACTCTCCTTGTTAAAGTCAGTTGTATGATTTTTGTTAAGATATAGGTAAAGAATGTATGAAAACTACAGTGCCATTTTAAGTGAGTGAACCTTCTGAAGAAGGTGAATCATTTTGCTACAAAAAGCTTTACTTGTTATATGATATAAGCTTGTGTTTTGGACAAAGCTTGCACTTAAAGAATGTCACCATCTTCTTTCGACCTGTGTCCTCTAATTTAGTTTCAAGTGCAGCCATGTTGTCATATTGTCACTACTCTATGGGATGGTTATGAATGGAAAAGATACTTATAAATACATTAGTGTACTGTTACACACACACACACACACACACACACACACACACACACACACACACACACATATCTACTGTAGATCAGTAACTATGTATGTATTTATATCTTGCTATATATAAAGAGAAAGGGAGAAGGAGAGGAAGGGATAGCTTGATAAATAAATAATTAGATATTTAAATACATAGGCCCTACATATATAAGAATATACATACATACATGTTTATATTCTCTCTCTCTCTTGCTCCCTCTCTCTCACTCCCTCTCTCTCGCTCTCACTCCCTCTCTCTCGCTCTCACTCCCTCTCTCTCTCTCCATCTCTCTCGCTCTG